CAACATACTTCTCTTGATGTGTCTCTGGTCTGTCCATCACAAAGGATCTGTTCCTTCCACAAAAATAACCGGGGCATTTGATATTTCCCCCGTCGACCCGCAAACCAGCCACGCCACAGGGACCTCGCCTAGGAGCTCCCCTAGGAAATGCAGAAACCAGGGCCACCTCTGGGAGCTGGCATTTCAGCAAGGCCCCTGGAATTCAGGGTGCCATTTTGGTTTGAGAAACACCGGCCAGTGCATTCATGCAGGACAGCCTCTGGCTTCTGTTTGGAGGCTGCTGTGGGCCCTGGGCTGGTGGGCTTCTCAAGTGGAGGTGAGCACCCACCTCTGGTTGGGTCCCAGGTGCTGGAGTGCGTGAGGCTGCTGGCGCCATCTCTGCCTCCCCTCCCGGAATGTCAGCCGCAAGGCCCTGGCTCTCACATTCTGTCATTCTGACTCCAGAAAAGCACTCTCATGACACGAGGCAGGATCGATGGATCAATCAAAACCGGCAGCAAGGGAGCATCTGGCAGAAGTTTTCCCTCTTCACAGAATACACGCCTTGAATTTACGAATTGAAAAGTAAAAAAAAATTTTTTTTAAATTGTTTTTTTTTTTATTATAACATGAATCCAGTTAGTGGAGTGGCAACTTTAGAAAACACAATCTGTCCCACGAAGAAAAGAAAAATGACTCACAATTCTACTATCCAGCTATAAATAACGTAATGTTTATTTAAATTTTTGTTCATTCAGTCAACAAATATTTACAGAGCCCTGCTGGGTGCCAGACCTGTGTTGGGCAGGACACTGGGGAGTGATGAATTCGCAGTGACTCCTGTTTGGCAGGAGTGGGGGTGGGGGCGGGTGGGTTGGATGTGAGTGGAGAACCCTACTAATGAGGAACAGCCGTTCTCACAGCGCAGGGCGGGGACGAGGCTGAAGACAATCAGAACTGATTTGCTGATGACTCTTAAGACTCGAGTTCAAAATCAAGGTGTTGGGCTAGAGCGACAGCACAGCGGGTAGGGCGTTTGCCTTGCGCGTGGCCCACTCGGGTTTGATTCCCAGCATCCCGTATGGTCCCCCAAGCACTGCCAGGAGTAATTTCTGAGTGCAGAGCCAGGAGTAACCCCCGAGCATCGCTGGGTGTCACCCCAAAAAGAAAAAAAAATCAAGGTGTCAGCACATCAGTTCCTGCGGGAGTGGCTTCTGTGATCCCCCGGGCCCCTTGGTGTGGCTTGGTGCCGCCTCACCCCACCTCTCCTGGCTTCTCCCGCTGTGTCCTGCCTTCACGTGACCTTTGTTTTTTTCTACTTTTTCCACCTGGCCCCCTTGGTGGATGCTGATGCCGTGACCAGGGCCCACACCCGTGCCTGGCTGTGGTGGTGGGGGGTGAGAGGGGGTGCATGGTGGTGGCCGTGCCCGCACACATGCCCGTGACGCTCACCAGCCTTTCCTTGTGGTGCTTGAGGACGCCCTGGTTGGGGTGTTCACCCTGCACTTGCCTGGGGACTCCCCCTGCCTCAGTGCTCATGCATCATTTCTCATCGTGGTGCCTGCTGGGGGCGCCACCCACTTTTGCTGTGGGGCTGGCACACACCGGGTGCCGAGGATCTGAGAGAGCAAAGATGTCAGGTTTGAGCTGGCATAGGCCGCAGCAGGAGGGGCTCAGGGCTACCAGGACTCCTGCCTTGGTTTCCTGAGAATGTTCATTGTGTTGGAGGCACCCACCCTGTTCCAGAATGAGCTCCATCAGTCACATCTGCCAGGATATATGGCCCAGCAAGGGGTCTCTAATGGGTGTAGGAGGGTAAAACTCCAGCATATGTTCACGGGGGCATACAACTCGGGCCTTGAGTTTGGGGGAACAGACCGGGTGACCCGTGTCTTCTGGGAGGGCTCCGAGGAAGTGACATTTAAAGTGACATTTTAATGTGGTTTTGTCTGGCACAGGCAATGAGGACAGGGCCAGCTGGAGGGGGGCTCCCGGCACGGCATGGGGGTGCCTCTGAGGAGCCAGGGGACAGCGCAAGCACAGGGTGACAGGGTCGCCTGGCTTGCCTTGGCCAGGGCAGTTTGTTGTTCCTGGGGGAAATGGGGCGCTCTGGGAGGCTGGCGTGTGGTGATTCATCCGGCTTTGTGAGCTGTCTCCTCCCAGACTCAGTGTCTGAAGGCTGTGCTGTTCCTCTGTGTCCCCAGTTCAGGGGGAAACTGCATGGCCTTGTCCTCAGGAGCCCCCTGGCTGTCAGCAGACACATGCTAGCCCCCACTCCCGTGTGCGTGTGTGCACGTGCACACACATACACACACACACACACACACACACACACACACACTGCCCAGGAGGCAGGCACGGCAGGCCAGCAGCCCCCAGTCTGAGAGTGGGGCAAGTTCTGTCCCCCAGCTGGTTTGAATCAGGAGATGGGCCTCCCCCCGCTCTGCCTCACTGACTTTGGGTGACCTGTGTCCTTGGAGTCTGGGGACACAGGTGTGGACCTGGCCGCCCCGCTCCCTTCCCTGCCATGGGTTTTGCTTCCAGAGAATGTGCAGGGCTGCTGCAGCCTCCAGACCAGCCTCCAATGCTGGACAAGGCCAGGCCTCACAGGGGCCCTCGGGAGAGGACTGGGGAGGGCCTCTCTGGTCACCAGCTCACCCTCTAGGACCACCCCATCGCTGTAGGGTCGGGGAGAGGGTCTCTCCCTGCCCAAAGCTGCCTCACCCCCATTGCCTGATCTGGGTGGAGAAATGGGTCAGCTCGGTCGCCATGGTGACAGCAGCTGCTCCCTGCCAGCCTCATCTCCTCGCCACCAGCCTCACCCCTGAGCTCCTTTGTCCAGCCTGCAGCGATGAGGCCCGTGGGGCTGGGATGGGGGCTGGAGCATCCCTGGGTGTGTGTGCGTGCGTGCACGTGCGTGTTCAAGCTCACATAAGCACCTGTTCCGAGTGCTGATGGTGTGTGTGCCTGAGCCAGGGAACCCACAGATTTGGGTAAGACACTCTCTACTTCCCTGCCTAAGGAAGGGATGGGTTCTTCCTGCCTCTGGCCAAGGGCAGGGTGTGTATGTATGTGTGTGTTGGTGTGTGTGTGAGGGTGTGGGGTGTAGTATGTGTGGTGTGGGTGTGTTGTGTGTGTGTGGTATGGGTATGGTGTGTGTGTGTGTGTGTGTGTGTTATATGCATGTGGGCATCAGCGTGGCCACTCAAGGTACCTCTGAAGATGAATATCCGAGGGGTGAGGGTGCTTATTTATAACTGCTCATGGGAGTGTGTTTGAGTGTGTCAGCTGTGTGGTGTGGTTGGTGTGTGAGCAGGGTGAATGCTCGTGTGCCCCGGGGCTCTGCACATCCGAGCCTTTGCAGGGGAGCGGGGGCAAAAAGGTTGTGTGACAGCTGGTGCCGTGCTCCCTGCTGGGGCTGGGTGTGCCCCCCCAACTCAGCCCACCTCTCCTGGCACACGCAGCCTGGCCACCCACCTCCCTCGCTCTGTGAGGAAGGGAAAGCTTGTTCCCAGGGAGCCTGTCCTGTGTCGGTGGCGGCAGCCCTGGCCTCTGACGTGGCTCACAGGGACAGAATGGCCTTGGAGCTGGGTGGGAGTGGGGGGTGGGAGTCCGAGATGCGAGACTGAGCATCCTCAAGGGGCCAGGAGCAGAAGTGCTGGAAGGGAAGAGTCCAGCCTCCTAGACTAGCTCCAGCCACAACTGGGGTGCAGGAACCCCAATTCTCCATGCCCCCTGGGCTCTGGGGGAGCCCCCCGGGTGGGAGTTGGTGGTGCTGCTGTTTGGCACCCCGCTTCCCCCCATCAAGTGGTTGCACCTGTCTTGCTTGCAGTCCTCCGGGCACGAACACCTGCCCAGGCCGTCACTGTTTACAAAGGCGCCGTGATGAGCAGAAGCCATGTAATTGCCCAACTGAGCATTTGGCACGTACCGATCCTTACTTTGTAATATTTCATCTACAAATCCTAAGGCAGGCATCATTATCCCCGCTTAGAGAGGAGGGGCACTCGGCTCAGGGGGTTTGTTAAGGAAACTGTCCTGCGTCATAGGCTCAGAAGTGGCAGCTCTCGGGCGTTGAGCTGAGTCGCTGCCTGCAGAGCTGTGCTGTGTCCCTCACGGACTTCCTGCTCCTCATCCCTCCTCCATGCAGCTGGGGCAGTTGGGCTGGGGTCACAGACTCCTTCGTAGAAGAGTGAATGGTGGCTCGGAGAAGCTGAATGACCTGCTCAGGGTCAGGGCTGGAAGCAGAGCCAGGAGCTCCCCCCATCTCTGGTCCCTCGACTCCTGGGCATGTCACAGAATGTTCTGGGGAGGGACCCAGATACCCCCATTAGTCAGGAAAAGGACAGAGGAAGGAAGGATAGGACTGGAATAATCTAGGATAATTGCTAGAGCTCCTTAGCAATTAGACCTTGACAAGACCCTTCTAGGTTAAGTCTTAAAATGTTGGGTGGGACTTCAGCACCAGCAGTTGCCATTCAAGTTCCTAAAGGCAGGGACTGGGCCTCAGAGAGCTGGGATGCTTGCTGGGCATGTGAGCCTTCAGGCTGCCAACCTGGCTGAGTCTCAGCATTGAACCGCTGGGCCAAGCACCACTGTGGGTGGTGTAGCTTGGGAGGTCCCCCAAATAAAAATAAAGCCAAATAAAATAGTGTCAAAAGACAGGATGAGGGGTCCAGATGTTTCGATGACTTGGAGGGTTGGGAATACCCAGCTATGCTCAAGGCTTACTCCTGGTGTGTTCAGGGTTGACTCCTAGTGGTACTCAAGGGACCCTGTGGGATGCTGGGGATCGAACCCAGGTAGACCACATGCAAGGCAAGTGCCTTAACTGCTGTGTTCTCTCTCCGGCCCCACTTGGGATGATTTTGCAAAAGAAAAACCAGAGTCTCAAAGCCTTACATGATTCCTTGAGGTCACACAGCTCGCTTCAAAGTCTTTCATTCCTCCACAAGCAACTGGAAGTCCTGGGGCAAACATCTTCTCTAGTCCTTCCTCTGAGTTCCCGTCTTTCCTTCCAGACTTATCACATAACCTCCTACAGGGAGCTGCCCTGATTGCCTTCACATCCTTTCTGGGAAGCTGGAATCTTGGCAGCAGCCAGTTGAAGACTTGAGTGCACGCCCGAGAGGCAAGCTATAGGGAGGGGTGAGCCCCCTGGGATGCAGCACCCCACGAGCAGATTCATCAGTTTGGTGAGTTTGCTTTGAGCCCGGGGATGGGGAGGAAGCATCTGACAGAGGTGGGGCTTGCAAGTGGGGACTTGAGTTGGAACTCTGGCGTTGCCATCCCATTTTTTCTGTCACCTGGTCCTCTCTTTCCAGTCTGGACCTCGATTTCCTTCTCTTCCAAATGAAAGACTCAGACTTAAAGATGGATTGCAACTCATAGTTTGGTTGTTTTTTGTTTGGGGTCACACCCAGTGGTGCTCAGTGCTTACTCCTGGTGGGAGTGTGACTCCAAGAATCGTGTGTGGTACTGGGCATTAGACCCGGGGTCAGCGCATGCAAGGCAAGTGCCTTGACCCCTGTATTATCTCTCTGGCCTTTCAGATCAGTTCTCACTCATGAGTGCTGAGATGCTGAGTGGACAGGAATTCAGAGTTTAGATGTGAACTTGATGGGAAAGAGAGCTGGATTAGCGACATCTGCCAGCATGAGGCTGTGGGCATCGGTCATTGCCTTACCTGCAAGCCCACTAGTCCTTCCCCGCATGTGACGGACCCCGTTGGTCTAGGGTGGGGGACTAGATTGAAAGGTTGGGCTCATTAATTCTCAAAAAGTCTCTTTTTTAGGCTATACACATGGCCAGGGAGGCCAGGGAGCCTCGGGTGGTCTGACAGAGCAGAGGGTTCTGGTGTTTTAAGGATTCCAGAGAGGTTTTGGGGAGCCCTTAAGGCCCTGGAATTCTGGAGTTGAGACCCACCATGGAGAGCTAGAAAGGCAGCAATTATATTGCTGGGCCGCTTGGCAGGAAGCTGCCGCCGTGCAGTTTGGGCTGTAGGGGCCATAGCTCTGCTCCCTGCAGGGGAGATCTGTGTTCTAGGGGCAGACAAACTCGGCAGGGAGGGCATCAGACCGGGGCCTTGGTGCCCAACAGTGTTCCTTCCGGGACACTGGGGAAGGACAGCCCTGCCTGGTGACTTTTGTGCAAAGGATCTTTCAGAACCACCTGCAGGCAAGGAACTGGGTTTTATGTCCTGCTGGCCCTTCGCCTCCTGCCTCCCATCTCTGCCTGCAGCCCTATTCCAGCCTAGCCCACTGAGACCTCCTAGCTGCTGTGGACATGGGCCCTCTCTTCTCATGGGGCCTCGGTGGTTGGCTCTCCCCGTCAGTCTCACCCTTCCTGAGCTACACCAGATACTAGAGAAGCTTCTAGCATCCTAATTCTGAGCTTGCCACTGCAATATTCAGATTCCGCTCTCCAAGTCAAAAGGACTTTCAGACACCCCGGACCCCAGCCCTTTAGCTGGACACAGTGACCAGAAAGGAAGGCCCAGGGACACAGTCAGGAGGAGCCAGTAGACCTTTCAGCCCCACCTCCTGACTCAGAACCCTCCGGGCTGCCCTCCCAGGACTCCCGAGCCCCCTGACCTTGGCTCTGGAGTGTTGGCTCAGCCTCCTCCTGTCTCCTTGGACATGGCCTGCCCTCTGAAGTGCCCCCTCCCCACCAGATGTTTATCAGCCATTCAGGTGATCCCAGGTGGTTGGAGATGAGAACATGGCTAGGATGGTGCAGAGTCCTGGATGTCAGATCCCCTTCATTATTCATGGAAAGATGAGCCTGGGGTTGGCAGGGTTGGGAATTTTGTCCCTTAATCTTGTCCCTTACCTCCCCTCCATCCCGCGGGTGGTTCTTGAGTGGCCTTGGGGCTTTTGCATCTCCCGCCGTTGTCTGAATGGGGTCTCCGCTACCCCTCAGACACTCACAGCAGCTGTGAAAACCGAGGCCAGTGAAGTGTTTTTCTAGCCACGAAAATGCTCCTTGCAGTTTCCTCCAAAAGCCCAGAGCCCCAGGATGAAGCCTGAGCAGGAGGGATGGGCCCACAGCTCCGGGAGAGCTCTGGGTGCGAGGGGCAGGAGCATCTGCCTCTGTCTGCTCCTTCGGGAAACATCCGGCTCCATCCAGGCCTTGCCACTTCTGAGCTGAGCACGAATGGTCCAGCCTCGGCTTCTTTGAGACTCAGTCTTCTCATCTGCAACACAGAAATAGCTACACACCCCCTGGAAATCCTTTAAACGGCAAGTGAGGCCTACACCGCAGCTGACTCTCGGTGTCGGCGAAGCTGTCTCCCGCCATCCTCTTAATGACCGCACGGATACCCCAACACACACCCCAACTGGCACCAGGACTGGAAACGAAAAAGAAGAGCTCACCCCAGGCCTGGGTCCAGGGGGGACTTTCCATTAGCTGCCGGGTGGGTGGGGGAACGGATGGAGAAATACAATCCGGGACTCGGCGCGCGTCGCAGTGGGAGTGAGAACCGTGCTACCAGCCGCAGAGAAAGCAGAAACCGCTGCTTTGACTCATCCCCACTGGCAACCCAGACCCGCCAGGCTGGCGGGAGCCGCGCTGACCCCGAGGCCTGGCGGCTCTTCTCCCTGTCTGGGGACCGCCTCTCCCATCAGCTGGAGCGCTGCCTTCCCCTCCCTGTCCCCGTTTCCCTTCCCCTTTCTGGATCTATTCGACTGTGGTTCGTATGGGGGTTTAGTTTTGTGCCAAGCATCAAGCCCCTGAGCCTCATACAGGCCAAACCTGTGCCCTGCCACCGAGCCACACCCTGTCTTTCCGTATTCTTTATTGTTTTGTTTTGCATCTTTTGTGCCACACCCGGCAGTGCTCAGGGTTCACTCCTGGTGGGGGCTGGGGGGTTATGTGGGGTGTCAGGGATTGAACCCCGGTCGGCCGTGTGCCAGGTAAGTGCCTTCCCACTATTCTATCTCTCTGGCTTCCCGTATTTGTTTGAAAAGTCAAAGTCTCTTAGGATGACAGGGAACCCCGGATCCTGGGATGGGAAGAATTACTGTGGCCAGAACAGAGCCAGCGTTGCCGTGATCTTCCCTATTATAATCCAACCTCTGCCTGAGCACAGGAGTCAGACCGTAGTATAGGATTTCCTGCCCACTGCGGAGGCTGATGGCAGAAAAACCCACTTTTATTTTTTATTTTGTTGTTTGCCACCACACTTCGTAATGCCTGGGGACTTTTCCTGGCCCCGTGCTCGGGGTCACTCCCATTCATGCTCAGGGGATCATACCAGCGCCAGGGATCGAACCCATGAGCTCAGCCTCTGCCTGGAGCTTTCCTCTAGGCTCAGACTCCATTCCCGTGCAGCCCGAGATGCCCACGTCCCCCTCCCTGAGTGACTCCCTTTCTGCAGCTCTCTGGCCCTAGACTGTCAGAGCCCTCATGAAAAATAAATCACTTAATTAGTTATTTACTGTCTGTCTCTCCTCCTGGACTGGAGGCTTGGGGAGGGCAGGACCAGACCAACCCGACCCCTTCTTCTCAGTCCAGGCCTTGCAATTTTAGGGACTGAAATATTTCTTGAATACAGCTTTGGGAAGGAATTTGGCATTATATGCCAAGAGTCAAAAACATGATTATACCCTCAGTATCGGAAGCATACTTCTGGAAGTAACAGAGAACTCTGATTCAAACTGGCTTAAGCAGTGGAAAACACATTCTCTCCCCTAACTGGAAGACAGAGAAGGCAGATTCCAGGTGTGAGCCTAGCCGAGGTTCGTTTTATCTGCAATAGTGGCTTCTTCATCCTGGAGCTGGGCCTTCTCTCAGAGGAGGGGTCTTGAGGGAGGGGAGAGAGAGGAGAGACAGGAGAAAGAGAGAGATATCACCTTCCCACCTGTCTCGTAAGCATTGAATCCGAATCTTCCCCTAAAGTCAAGTAGGGCCACCTTAGCCAAGTGTCCACCTCTGGACACCTTTGAACGCATTACCAACGGGAGTGCCACTCACTGCTTAGTAAGCTAAGGGATGTGCCTTTCAAATAGGGAGGGAACAGCTGGACGAAGCCACCCTTTTCTCAAGGCACAGGAAGGAAGATGGGTGTGGGGCGACCATCAGAAGAATTCATACCTTCTAGCTCTGTTACTCCATCTCTGGGAGTCAGTCCTGAGGAAGCGGGCAGGTCATGTGGGCACAGAAAGATGCTTTTCACACTTGTGTCAAAGACAAGCAAGGGCCAGGAGGAAGACCTATTGTAAGAAGTAACTGTGGGGGCAGGGAGGGAGGGAGAGGCGTGGGGGTTCAGGGGGTAAAGTACTTGACCTTGCTAGGTTCCCCAGTACTACGTATGGTCTGCCAAGCACCATCGGAGGTCACTCCTGAGCACAGAGCCAGAAATAGCCCCTGAGTACCACTGGGTATACACCCACTTCTCGCCCCCCCCCCCCACACACACATCCTCAAACACATAAAAGTAATGAATTAAAATATTTGTCTGTTATGCTGCCTCCTTGGGCTGGAGCGATAGCACAGCGGGTAGGGCGTTTGCCTTGTGTGCAGCCAGCTCGGCCGATTCCTCCGCCCCTCTCGGAGAGCCCGGCAAGCTACCAAGAGTATCTTGCCCGCATGGCAAAGCCTGGCAAGCTGCCCGTGACGTATCCGATATGCCAAACACAGTAGCAGCAAGTCTCAAAAAAAAAACGGAGACGTTACTGGGCCCGCTGGAGCAAATCGATGAACAACGGGAGGGCAGCGTTTGTATGTTTGCTTCCTCCTTATAGTGCAGTGTTGTGGTGATGTGAAGATACTTATTCAGTGTGCTGATGGGATTGGTGATTACGTGTGATAAGAATAATACCAGACTGTGATATTGTATTTGTGGCACGAGTTCATCTTGTGTGTTTGGGGCCACACTCTGCAGGACTGGAGAGCTATTCCCAGCTCTGTGATCGGGGGTCCCCCCCACCCCCCACCAGCAGGACAGTGCTAGGCTGGGGATCCAATCTAGCCTCCTGTACGCCAAGCCCATGCTCCAGCCTGTGGAGCAACCTCTGGCCCAGAAGTTCATTCTTTTTTTTTTTTTTTTAAATGCTTCATCAGGAGGAAATGGGTTAAAATGTTCAGAGAGATGCTCTCCATGGCCCTTCAGGGGCCTGAGTCTTTACACTGTCCTGAACCTCACGGGGCGCCTAGAAGGAAAATCCCTGTCTACAGCAGTCTGGCAGGCTGGAGTCATGTTCCTTTTTCCTGTGTTTGTTTGGGAGGTGAAACAAATCACACACACACCTCTGGGGTATTTCCTCCATGCGGGACATTGCTCCCACCTTCCCCTCCCCCCACCTTGATTGTTGGTATTTGGGCCACATCAGCAGTGCTAGGCTCTTACTCCTGGCTCTATCCTCAGGGATCACTCTTGGCAGAGCTCAGGGGACAATACGGGGTGCTGGGGATGGAACCCTGGTCAGTTGTGTGCAGGCAAACACCCTACCCACTGTGCTATGACTCCGGCCCCTGCCCCAGGCCCGTCTCCAGGCAGTTTCTGACTAAACACAGCCATCGCCTGGGGTAAATGCTGCCTTTCTCCTGCCGAGGCCTTCACTGAAATCTCAGCATAACCAGTCACAGGACCACACAGCTGCTCTGGGGAAGGTTGTGGAGTTCCAAGGTGGATGCAGGCCACTGGGCACCACTGCTGCCCCCCACCCTGTCGACCTCGGGCTGCCTGAGCCAGACATCCCCCCCCCCCGAACCTTTGTGCCCCGTTCCCTCTCCCAGCCTCAGGAGGCCGAGACCGCGGCTGGCTCCAGGTCGTGTGACTCAAGACGCAGGAGGGACAGCAGTGGAGCGCCCCACTTCCCTGATCTGACTCGCACCCCGTGTCTCTCCCGCCTCCTTGCAGAGTTTCCTGAGAGCCGACCTCTTGGCAGACCATGTTTAACGGGGAGCCGGGGCCGGCCTCGGCCGCAGCCTCCAGGAACGTGGTGCGGAGCTCCAGCATCAGCGGCGAGATCTGTGGCGCCCAGCAGGCGGCCAGCGGGCCCGGGAACAGCATGGCCAAGAAGCGGCGCAGCAGCCTGGGCGCCAAGATGGTGGCCATCGTGGGCCTGACACAGTGGAGCAAGAGCGCGCTGCCCCTGCCCACCCCGGGTAAGCACCTTGGCCACCCGTGCCGCCATCCCCTTTGGTGCTCAGATATGGGGCCGGGGGGGGGGTAGGGCAGTAACCTCCCCCCACAACTCATCTGGTTCACTCGCAAGTGGTCAGTTGGGATTCAAACCCTGGCACTAACCTCCCAGGTTGGCTCCCCATCTTGGCACTTTGCTGCCTCCACGTCATGTCACCCAGGTCCAGCCCCGCTTGGTGCCAGAGAACACAGAGCCCCACAGACACCGTTACTGAATTGCATCTGTGTTGTCACAGGAGAGAGCTGAGTACATACTTTGCACGGTGGCTTGAGGAAGGCACCCATCTGGAGTCAGGGGGTTGGGGGAGGTCACCCACCAGGACAGCAGTGCCGGGCACACCAGCCGGGTCCTCAGAGCACACGTGCACAGTCGCCTGCGGGCACCCACCACACACTCACATTGGTCCCTGGACTCAGAAATGGGTCACGTGTCTCCACACATTTCACAACGACACGCAAACACACACGCTGAGCTCCGGCTAAATATATTCTGCTGCTTCTCAGACACCTCGTTACGAAATCCCGCACGGACTGGCAGGTGATCTCCCCAATCCCGCACAGGCACACCTGGACCCCACATCACAGAGGAGCCAGCACCTCCCCTCCCCTCCCCTCCACCTCCTCCCTTTGTGGCATCAGCCCAGACACCAGCTGGTTTTGTTTTAAAATCTCTTCCTGCTTATTTTGCTCCGAGTAACAACTTCCCCAAGAAACCTTCAAATAGGCAGCTGGGTGGGGGTGGTGAGGGGGCGGGGGCCCGGAGGATCCAGGGAGGGCGCTCAGCCGAATCCCAGTTGGGACTGGGGGTGGGGGACTTCTCCAGGCCTTAAAATAGATTTTTACAAAGCCCTCCACAGGAGCATGTGGGATGGTCTTTTCCAGTGATCTGGCTGTGATGTGGTGGCTGGCTTGGGGAAACACAGCTGAGGAGGGGGCCTGAGGTTAGCAGGGGTCTCTGAGTGCGAGATGAGGCTTTGGGGGAGCCGGAGCTTGGAGCAAAGGGCCCATCAGAATCGGGGATGAAGAGGAAGAAGTTGTGGAGATGTTGGATTGCAGATGTCTGGCTTCAGGAACCAGAAGGATCCAGTGGCAGAGCCCAGAGCTATACGCCCAGACTGACTGGCAGGTCAGCTTTCCAAGGCCCAGGCTGGGTCCAGGTCACTGGAGAGAAATCCCAGAGATCTGCTTGGGACTGTCACCTCCCTGGCGCCCAGAGTCAGCAGGTGTTGCTGTGAGCAGATGCCAGGAAGCCTTTTCCCACTGGGGAGAGAAGAATGATGAGGAGGATGTGGGGGGCCTTGTCTCTGCTACACAAGGATGTGGCTCAATGGGGCTGGGAGCATTGCATAGATGCCCATGTAACCGAAGGTCTCTGTGAATCATCGAGCACTGTCGGCAGGAAGAGCCCCCTGGCGATCCTCTGGTGGGCTCACTCTATCCAGGCCTGCGGTGTCTGCAGGGGACAAGGCACTTTCCTGGGGGACAATTTCAAGTTGGTTGTCAGCACCACTCTCTTGTCCTAGTACCAGCTGGGTGGCCTGGGGCAAGTTGCTTCACCTCTCAGCCTCCTTTCTCATCCGTGCCAATAATGCATTCAGAGCTGGCCAGGGGATTGAGCGGGTGAGAGTGTGTGAAGGTGCCCAGCTTTGTGCCTGCCCCCCAGCACAATGGTGAATGAGTGATGCTATTATTACTGCGGCACACAGCAGCACCCTAAGAGAAGTGATTTCTTTGGCCGCCAGAGCCCTGGCCATTGCTGTTGGCATATTCTTCCATCTATAAACTTTTCTCCCATTTTTTTTTTCTTGAACCCCATCCTGGATGGGAAAATCAGTTTCCTGAGGAATGTATGGGAAACATTTAGGGAAAAGATCCTTGTGGGGTATCTAGCTGCCCTCGGTGGGATGGTTCTCTTCCCCATCATGGGAGGACCTCTGGGGGGACCCGGTCTCCTGGCTCTGTGTCTGCCCTTCCCGGGTACCTCCTTCCTGCACTGGCTTAGGCCCCATCTTTACCCTGCCCTTGTTCCACACTCTGCCTAGTTCAGGTCCTGCATTTCCCATCCCGGCACTGACTCATGCTGCTTTAGCCCTTCTGAAAACGCACCCTGCAGTGTCCAAGGCTTATTCTCTTACTTCCCCTAGGAGGTGTTGGGAATTCACCCTTCCTCTGGGTCTCAGTTTCCCCTTCTGTAAAACTAAGGTGCTAAGGATTCTCAGATTTCCTCTAGCACGTGTGTTCCCTAAGTCACGAAAGGAACGGGAAAGACAGAGTCAGGGCTTTCGGGTCCCGAGACCCAGGTGGGTACTGCCTGGCTTTTGGTGGGACTCATACAGAGGACAACCTGGTTTTCAGTTTCAGTACCAGGGACAGCGCTTCTGCCTTCCTGGGATCTGGTCAGGGTCCCGACCACATGCTTAGGACCAGTTCCCGTGAGGGAAGAAGCTGGAGGCTGTGCCTGGCATCTGTGGCAGGGCATGTGAGGTGCTCCTGAGTCATTTAGTCTCCAGGGACGAGAGAGAGAGGGAGGGAGGGAGGGAAGGAGGGAGGGGAAGAGAAAGGAAGGGAGGGAGGGAGACAGAGAGAGAGAGAGGAAGAGAGATAGAGATAGAGACAGAGACAGACACTGCACAGTTACGTAGTTACATGTAGGATCATCCGTGAGATTGGAAGGATTTTGTTTGTTTCAGGGCACACCTGCAGTGCTCAGGGCTTACTCCTGGCTCTGTGCTCAGGGATCACTCCTGGTGGACTGTGCGTACTGTAACGACAGTTTCCCTACACAGATATATCTCCTACACAAAAGGTTGTTTTAACTACCAGGAAGGAAAAAGACATTCTTATTGGCTGGAACCTAGAAAACAGAAAGAGAGAGCGAGGGGAGAGAGAGAGAGACAGAGACAGAGAGAGAGAGAGAGAGAGAGAGAGAGAGAGAGAGAGACAGAGAGAGAGAGAGAGAGAGACAGGTAGGCAGGCAATGTAGTTACATGTAGAATCATCTTCTGTGATATTGAAAGAATTTTTGTTTTGAGCCACCCCTGGCAGTGCTCAGAGCTTACTCTTGACTCTGTGCTCAGGGATCACTCCTGGTAGGGCTTGGAGGACCACAGGGGGTGCCAGGCGGGGATCGAACTTGGGTTGGCTGCATGCAAAGCAAGCTCTTTACCCACTGTACTGGAGCTTTTTTTCTCCCCAACTCAGACCCCTGGAATGTAATCTCTCCTGAATCCCATCTCCAGCCCACGTGGAACTGATGGGGGCGGGGGAGGGTTTGCTCTGCTTCTCAGAGTCAGTGAGTGTGAGGTGCAGCCGCCTTAGAGTGCCTGCTAAGACTTCCCAGCTATGAATCGGCAAAGTGAGGAGCACACCAAGGTACCTCTGTTATTTCAGGGTCTGGGACTTCCTGACTCAGGGTTTGAATGTGTGATCAGACCTGCTGGGAGGTGAATTTCCTCCCAGATGAGCGGAAGTGAGCGGAAGCTTTCCCAGGCCCTTGGAGAGGGCGTGCAGCCAGGGTCACGTGGTGGTGAGACCTCCTTCTCAGGGCAGGGTGTGTGTGGTGAGCAGTTTGGAGGGCCACCTTAGGGACTCCTGTCTCCTCAGTGGGTTGGGGGAACAGCAGCTATGAACCCATGAATCCCCCCCCCCCCCGTCCTCCCGTTCGGATTCATGTGGACGGAGGCTGTGAGCAGATGGGGGTACGTCGCAAGCACGTGTCAGGCTAACGCCTCGCAGGATGTGTGTTTGCCACACCTGCTCCCAGCCGCCCCATCCTGTCTACTTGGCCTTCGTCCCCCGGTGGGACTTTCAAAAGATCAATAGGGTAGAGCGGAGGAATCAAGACCCCCAATTTCCAGGTTGGACCGTAGACACTCCCCCCGCCACAATGCACCACTGTGAGTGGGTGGGGGAGGCTATTGGAGGGGGGAGTCACCCACACCGCATTCCTTCCCCTCTGGGGGCCGCCTTTCCCATCCCCATTTACTTTGCCTGGGCTCCACCCGGTGACAGCAGAGGTGCCTTCAGCAGCGTCCCCTTCAGCCCCCCCCCCCCAGCCATCATGCCCTCAGACAGCTGCAGTTCCACAGGAGGAGCCCCAATAAACCTTGCACCTGTGTCTGCCCCCCACCCCCACTTCCTTGGAGGAGAGGGACAGGGACCACACTGCAGTGCTGAGGAGGTTGCCATGGAAACCCAGGCAGGAGGGTGTGCTGCTGGAGCGGGGAAGTGCCCCATATTCCCCGCAGGTAGGGGAGCAAAGGACCCCCTGAACAGCAGGTACAGAGCCACAGCTGTGCCATCACAGCACGACTTCTGGGTCCTTCTACTTGGCCCCTGACAAGGCTTCCCGGGGGTCCCTCCATATGCCCAATTTAAATAGTCCCTCCCTTCCCCAGTGTCTGGCCCAGTGGTGTGCTGAGAGCCAGCAGGGCTATCCCAGCTGCTGGGCGAAGCTGTGTCAGTGGCCGGCCCTCCTGGGGTTCCTCTCCTTGTCCAGGTGAGGTCTGGATGTGCAAGGGGAAATCAGACCTGGGTTCCAGACGAGAGAAATCTAGCCTGGAAGGAGATGGGGTTGGCAGGGTGGTGGGGGGGCTGCTGGTCTGGGGCTCCACCTGAAGACCCCCTTTCCGTGGCCCCGACATCCTGACTCTATCTCAGGCTTCTCTCTGTGGGCTGTGTCAGGGGGTCCCCACCCAGAGCAGGGGGGCCAGGCTCTCAAGGTGCTCCCAGCCATGCCTCGCCTTGGCCACCGTGCCTCCGACCCCCTTCCCGAGAAGGTGACCTCGCCTGTTGTCCCCAGACCTGCTTCCTCCACCCTCTGACCTTGTTTCCTCTCTGTGCTTCTGGGGCGGGTCACAGAAGGGACCACGAAGAAGCTACGCAGCAACATCCGGCGGAGCACGGAGACGGGCATCGCGGTGGAGATGCGGAGCCGGGTCACGCGCCAAGGCAGCCGCGAGTCCACGGACGGCAGCACCAACAGCAACAGCTCGGAGGGCACGTGCGTGCAGCCCCGCCCCCTCCTCCGTGCTCCACCCCCCTCGGGTGTTGGGGGGGGCGGAGAAGAGGGGGGTGGCCTCCCAGCCTCTCCTCCCTCGGTCCCCTGCCTCCCAGCCCCTGAACACTGCCCCTTCCTCCAGGAGAGAGGGGTCAGGAGGAAAGCCTGACCCCAGGTTCCTTTAAATCTCAAGTGACTGCTTCGCCCATGTGAACCCAGTCCCCACAAAGTGGCCTTGCATGGAGATTCCGGAAGGAGATGGGACTCAATGCATGGTGCTCTAACTGCGGAGTGACTCCCAGTCAAGAAGTCACATTCATTTGGGGTGGTGGGGTGGTCGCAGCCCATGTTAGACCAAGAAAGGAAGTCCCGCCACAGTGAGGTGGACTTAATTTTCCCCGGTGGTGTTCTGTGGATTTCTGTCCTTTACTTGCGGGTGCCGCCAAAGCTTTGAACCTTCTAGCTCTGGGTTAGAGAGTCTCTCATCTCTTCTAAATTGACGGCACTGTTGGGTGATTAAGGTTTTCTCACCTAGCCTTACCCAGGTCTGAGGGTGTTGGGATTTTGTCCTTATTCATCTCTATGACTTCAGATTTCATTACCGCACGCCCCGTTGCTTTACCACCATCCATGAATGTGAAGCGCCAAGAGCAGTCCACTGTCAGTTCAGAAAGAGTGTCTCAATGAACACTCAGCAGACCCAGGATGTCAGAAGGACCACTGGCTCCATTGTCTAAGAGGAGAAACAGCGGGAGGGTGACCTCTGCCAAGGTCATGGCTCTTCAGTGGCTGGAGTCAGGGCTTGGATGGAGGCCATTGGACTACCCTGCCTTTGCTCACCATCTCCACATTCTCCACCCTAAAGTGCCGAAACTCTAGGACTCTAAGCGCTTACTTCCTGCACGGAACCTTTCCAGACCCATTTGCTCCAAGAATGCCCTAGTGCACTGTGGCTGGCTGCGACCAACGAATGTGGGTCTCCAAGACCCTTTCCTGGGAGTGGGGAGAGACCCAGGCCTATTTACCCCCAGACTTCCCTGGACAAAGGGGCCGTGGGGCCAGACTGTGCAACAGGACATTAGTTCTTAGAAAACCTTTGCTCTCTCTAGCCAGCAGCCTGGGCTCCTCGAGGAGGTCTTAGTGCTCTCCTAGTCCCTTGTAGCTCCTGTGCTGACCTGGGCCAGCCTCCCTCTTTCTCTCCAGCCTCTGCTAGCCACACCCAGAACAACTCGGCATGAGGACATGGAGCAAGAACGCTCTCCCCAGGGTGCTGGCGACAGCAACAATAGCTCCGATTGAGTAATTTCTGTTTGTCTGCAACTTTTCTTGCACCATCTACTTTGCTCCACTTACCCCGGTGGGCTGGCATTATCTCTTGTTTTGCAGGACAGGCAAATCGCTTGCCTTTTGGAGCCTCTGTTTTCTCATCTGTAAAATTGGATAATAGTTCCTGCCACACAGAGTGCTTGCGAGAATTAATGATTAATGATTCATGGGTGTGGAGCACTTAGTGCCCTGTTGGGGCTTGGCCAACTTTCAATCACTGTCACTTTTTCTTCTTACTATTTCCGGTCCTCCTCCCCCACACCCTGCAGCCGTAGACCACCCCCCCCCCCCCCCAATATCTTTTTCCATTAACCCTATCCTGATTTTGGGCTCCTTGGCTGTTTGGAGTACTGCTCTATTTTCTGGTTCTTGGATTTCCGACGTACACTGAGGTGTTTGTTTTTTTCTTTTTGGGTCACACCCGATATTGCACAGGGGTTACTCCTGGCTCATGCACTCAGGAATTACTCCTGGCGGTGCTTAGGGGACCATATGGGATGCTGGGAATCGAATCCAGGTCGGCCGTGTGCAAGGCAAACGCCAAACCTACTGTGCTATTGCTCCAGAGCCCCATACACTGAGGCTTGACCTCAGTTCTCAAAAGCGGTGTCAGACCTGTGTATCTGTTTCTTAGCAGGAGAACGCCCGTGTCTTTCAGGGCCCCCCGTAGGAATGCCTACTGTCTTTGGGTGAAACATCATCATTAAGTTAGTGTTTTCAGTCTCTCTCTTTTCTGTTTTCTTTTTTGGAGGGGGAGTGGATGCCACATCCAGTGATGCTCAGGGTTTACTCCTGGCTGGCTGTGTGCTCAGGGATCACTCCTGGTGAGGCTCAGGGGACCGCAGGGGCGCAGATGGAACTCAACAGGCTGTGTGCAAGGCAAACACCCTACCTGCTTCAGCCCGGTGTTTAGTCTCTTTTCTGAAATGACAGCAATGCAGTTTCCCCTGATGAGCGGAGAGAAACAGCTCCTTGTCCCTGGCTAAGCGGTTGACTCATCTCACAGAGAGGGAAAACTGAGGCATGCGGGAGGATCTGTGGTGCCAGGGCAGATGCCCTCACATGCGGCTCTGCCTCCTCCAGGTTCATCTTCCCCACCACCCGCCTCGGGGCTGAGAGTCAGTTCAGTGATTTCCTGGATGGGCTGGGACCAGCCCAGATCGTGGGCCGGCAGACACTGGCGACGCCCCCCATGGGTGAGTCTTCACGTGGAACGGTGGTGGTACGGGGGGAGCACGTCTGATGGGCACAGGAAGCAAAAGGCAGCCCCTTTCTCTGGCTTTGTGCCACCAGCGAATGAGTGTCAGCCGCTCTCTCATCAGCCGGCAAAGGAGGTCCAGCCAGCCTCAGCAGCCGGCTCAGCCTGTCTCACATCCTGTCCCTCCTGGACTTCACCACCTCCCCACAGAGAACCCTCACCCCCCCTGCCCCACCTCCCACCCCCGCCATGTCCCATGTGTGCCGAGTGCCTGGCTTAAAAAGGCAAACAAAAATCGTCACTGAATTGACTAGTAATGGGGAGTCTGTGCTCTCTCCAATTCTCTGTACTACCTGGGCAGGTCAGGGTCCTTTGTGGGCCTCTGAGTCCTCATCTGTACAATGGGAATAATGACCCCCCCTCACCCCCAGTATTAGTTCTGCGTTTGAAGTGTTTGTTGAGTTCCTGTCCCCTGCTTGGTGTGCTGTGTCTCAAGTATGCCATGGGGACTGTCTTACTCATCCCTTCTGCCAGACCAGAGCCTGGCACCTGGAAGCGGCTCAGTCTTTTTCACTTGTCCCTGCCGTTTGGGAGGATTCCTGATGTCCCCACTTGCAATTCTGGCTCCCTCCTCCAACCCCCCTTCCCTCCTCCCCTGGCCCCCAGCGGCTCTTCCCCGCCCGCCCCATGGTCTGACCAGACGCCTGCACTCAGCCAGCGTTTGATCAGTGGTCAGCCTTTGCCCTCACCGCGGGTGCAGACAGAACCTCCCCGGCTAACCGTGCGGTGCATTCCAGGCCAGGGCTCCTTCCACTGCCCTCAGGGTCCAGCCTTGTCCTCCTCCATCTCACACAGTCCGTCTCTGCTGGAGGAGGGCTCCGCAGGGGCTCTCAGAGGATGGATATCAGCTCTCATCTGGCCCTTGGGTTGGATTTAGCTAATTTCCCGTTCTTGCTTTCAGGCTCTTAATGGCCTGGGGAGTCTGCTGGAGGAAGGCAGTGAGCAGTCAGCCCTTCCGCTAGGCTAATGCACCATCACAGCCGAAATATTTGCAGGTGGTGCCCCCTGGTGTCCATGATTGGGAGGGACAGGGTTGCATTAGACCCCCCCACTGCCTTCTCCGGAAGGGGAGTGAGTTACTGGATATCTGCTAGATGTAAATCCCCATCTCCCCACAAATGCAAGAACACATGATCACATGATGTGTACTCAGTGAACCTCCACTGGGTGTCTGAACCCAAAGTGTGGCCCCGTTTCTCCTCATCAGTCTTACGACTTGACCTCCTTCCAAGTCTGATCCGAGTGAGTCGATCGCAAGCCCCCATCCTGCTCACCTGAGCTGAGAGTTCCAGTAACTGCCGCCACAGAGAGGACCTTTCCCAGCCAAGAGTCTGCCGCCATCCTCTATCCCTGACAGGGAATCGGCAAGCCTGGCTCCCAGGGAGCAGGGAGCACGTCCTGTCAAGGGCAGCTGCCCGTCTCAGCATCCTTGTAGACACATGTCCTGTATACCTGCGTCAGGCCGGTGTTTAGGGAGTGGCTGAGGGCCACGGTCCAGGAAGCAAGAAGTCACCAAGACCAGACCATGGCCTCCCTCTACTCATCCTGACATAGATGTTCTGTTCTCAGACTGACCCCCTAGTTACACAGACACTGGCTTACCCAGACAGGAGCTGGTCAGTCACCCTTGGGTACCTAAACATGCCTCCATCCCTCCCTACCCCTCTTGTTGAAGCTGTTCTGAGTGGAGTTGAAGGGGCAGGTGGGGCGCAGGCAGTTGTCTGCGTTCTCGTGTCCAACAGGTGACCCACTCCTGGGCCTGGTGAGGCCCCTCACTCCTCCTCTTGGTCACAGGGGACGTACATGTCGCCATCATGGATCGGAGTGGCCAGCTGGAGGTGGAAGTGATCGAGGCTCGGGGTCTGACCCCCAAACCAGGCTCCAAATCCCTCCCAGGTGAGGCGGGGCTTCAGGGAGAGGAAGGAGGGTGGCGAGTTGGCTTCTGCCAGGAGAGCAGTGGCTAAGCTCTGGCCTGGGGCCTCCGTCAGTGTTCTCAGCCCTGAGGGCCCAGTGGCCGGGACAGCAGGTGAACAGGCAGTGCGGGGAGAATGGAGGAGGCGGGTTTGACTAAGGCTGCATCCCAGTCATCTCCAGGCGTGCCTGGCTCTCCTGACCCCGGCCGTCTCCCTCAGACACCCCATTCTGCCTTCTCCCCCACCTCAGCCACCTATATCAAGGTCTACCTGCTCGAGAATGGGGCCTGCTTGGCCAAAAAGAAGACAAAGGTGGCCAAGAAGACCTGCGACCCCCTGTACCAGCAGGCTCTGCTGTTTGACGAGGGCCCCCAAGGCAAGGAGCTGCAGGTGAGTGAGGGGTGTGGGGGATGGGTGCTCCTGAGACTTGCTTCCTTAATGATCTCCCCTGGGACCAGGGTCAGCCCTGGGCAGAGGTGGGCCACCCCCAGGCGACTCATCAGGTAGCAGAGGGGAACATAGGTAACAGGATGGGGTGGGACGGTCACCCTTCCTGGGGTCTCTGAGTCAGAGTCTCACTCCGTCCTTGAGCTGATGTGGTGGGTGTGGGAGACGGTACTCACAGGTCCCCCTGGGCTGGGGCACAGTGACAGCACGAGGCCCAGACCAGGCTCTGTTGAGCGACTTGCAGAGCCCAGAGGAGCACAGGACAGGACAATCCTCACCCCAACTGCGGACAGGTCAGTTCCTTCCCTGCCAGCACTGAAGGGAGGAACCCTCCCCTGCTTCCAGACCTGCCACCCTCTTGGTGCCCACAAGGTGGAGCTTGGCAGCACTGCAGGGGTGGGGCTCTGAGTTCACTGTGGGTGGGGTGGGGTGCAGGTTCTTCGAGGTCTGCTTGTAGCAGACCTGACAGGAGGCCCGGTGCGTGGCCAGCTTCCTGCTAAATCCAACTGTGGTGTCGGTGGCCATGCGCCAAGCCTGAGGCCTTGCTGGTGATAGAAGCCTTGGGCTGTCTGGTTTATTGGGGGGGAGGGGCGGGGGAGTACAAGGGTGGGAGGCTCCCAGGCAGTGCTCAGAAGCTCAGCCAATTCTCAGCCAACCAGAACTTAGCCTGTGGGAGCAGGGATCCCTGTGGTGCTGGGGGCCCCCAGGGATGTTCAAGGGACCGTTTGGTGCTGGGAACAGAACCTGGGTCAGGAGCATGCCTAGCATGTGCCCTTACCCCTGTGCTCTTTCCAGGCCCCAAACACAGTCGAATTTCTTACCTAGGGCCATTCCTCTGGGGTCTGGTGATCCCACGGCTTTGGCCTTGGAGTTGCAAACTGCCAAGACCTGCTGATCCTGATTCCGGGGGAACTGGGCACACTGGACTGCCCACTTTATACTCATGAGAAAGGATCTGTGGGTAATAGCACCATTTTGGAGGCTGAGTATCAACTGATTGGAAATATCAGTTTGGTTGCTCCCCCTCTCCCAGGTTTGTGGGCGAGCATGGTCCTGTGAGGGCCTGGAGCTCACCCAACCCTGCAGAGGACCGGTCCAGGGCGGAGCTGGGGCTCGGGACTGGGGTTCCCGGGCTGCCCCTTCCTGGAGATAGCTGTCCTTAGGGATTCTGGGAGGCCCCGGAAGTCAGACCTCGGCTCCAGTCCCAGCTGTGTCAGTGTTCACTGACCTTTCGGAGCTTCCCTTTCCTCGCTGTGACAGGAAGGCCCAGCAGCTCTTCCTAGTAGCAGCGACAATGGCTAAAAAACCTGCCAGATGTTCCTGGCACCTTTTACCCATGCTCAGGAGCTGGTTCCCGAAACCAGCGTGGGCTCATTGCTCAGTCGCCACCTGCCACCTCCCCGGTCCCACAGGTGATCGTGTGGGGAGACTACGGCCGCATGGACCACAAGTGCTTCATGGGCATGGCCCAGATCATGCTGGACGAGCTGGACCTGAGCGCCGCGGTCACCGGCTGGTACAAACTCTTCCCCACATCCTCGGTGGCAGACTCGACTCTTGGCTCGCTCACCAGGCGCCTGTCCCAGTCCTCCCTGGAGAGTGCCACCAGCCCGTCGTGCTCCTGAGCACCTCAGGAAGAGGAAGGATGTGCAGTGGGCAAGGGGCGCCTGCAGCCCCCTCCCCATCGCTCCCCCCACGCCGCCCCGCCCCCGTCTCCTTCCCTGTACATAGTCTTCGCGTCTTTCTGGACTCCCTCCCCCCGCTGCATGCCTGGTGGCTCCTGGGCTCGTCCCAGCTGGCAGTGGAGACGGTGGCGTGCGTGCCTGTGTGTCTCCGTGTGCGTGCGTGTCTCCCATGTTCTAGCTGTCCATGTGTCTGGGCCTCGTCCGTCTCCGTGGCTCCGTGGGCTGCAGTCCCGTCTGTGTCTCGTTGAAAAGAAACCCAAGGTGTGCAGGTCTCCCCCGTGTGCAGGGCCGGAAGTGGGGGCCCAGAGAGACGCATCTGTGTGGCCTGGCGCGGAGCCCTGGACAGGGCCTTTGTGCCTCCCACCCCTGGTCCCTTCTTGGTGGGTTCTGCTGACTTTTCTGTATTGTCCTTTGTCCCTCCCCCCCGCCCTTGCCTCTCCCAGCATTGCTGCTCTTTTTGAGGAATGTAGTGTCCACCACAGCTGACCACTCTGAGGCCTCTGGGAACCCCAACACCCCCGCCCCCTGCCGAGGCTACCCCTTCCTCCAGCGCACTGCGGCATGCGCCATGCTCCGTGCTCGTCCGGCGTCCTGTGGGGGCCTTGGGGCCCTGGAGAAGCTGAGCGCATGCAGAGAGCTTTCCCCCAGGAGCCTGGCCACCTCAGTCCTACCAGCTCGTGAGGTCTGAGATGGCCAGGCTGGCGGGCAGGGGCACAGAGGGAAGGAGGTGCTTCCTGGAGCACTGTTCTTGGCCCCTCTCCCACCGAGCTCCCGTATGCCAAAGGGGTGCCCGCGGGCCCCAGGAGAGATGGAGGGCCTGTCTGCTAAGAGGACACATCTGCCAAAGCAGTCAGTTCCTGGAGGCCCCGAAGGTGCCCGTCCCTGTCCTGTTACCCCGGGGCTCAGGCTGAGGAGGTGCTGCAGGCCCCGGGTGAGGAGGGTAGATTCTCTGGGAGTCACATGGCTCTGGTCCCCGCTTCCGGGCCTAGTTGCAGGACGCTGATCATTTGGGGCTCTGTTCTGTTTTGTCAGTGGGTTTTTTTTTTTTTGTGTTTGCTCATTTTCAGACCAGGGTTCCTGTCTGGGAGCTCGGATGCGCTTGGTCTCGGCCTCCTGGCTCCACAGACACCTGGCTCTGGACCCCAGACCACTGCCGTCACCAGCGCTGTACAAGCAATACTCCCCTCGCCCGCCTGCCTTCTTGCACCCGCCACTGCCCCCTAGAGTGGCCAGGCCTGCCCCGGCCTTCACCCACCTCTACTGCTTTCCTCCCTGACCTGGACCAAGCCACGCGAACCCCGACTTGGCAGGCAGCTGGGCCGTGGTGGTGGGAATCAGTCTCGACTGACCCTGGTGTCTGCTGGGAATCCTGAAGACGGGTTCAGAAGTACTCCAGTTGGCCCCCTCTCCCTCCCCGGGTCAAGGGTGAAAGGTTGGGCCTCAGCTGTCCTTGGGTCCGTGTCTAGTGGAGAGAAGCGAGGCTGTTTCTCTGCCTCTTCCCCGACATCACCCCCAGAGGTAACGGTGACTGGCCTGGAGGCAGCATCAGCTGTCTCAGCCCCAGTGCTCAGACCCATTTAACCAAAGCTAGAGGGGGACGAGATGGGTTCTGAGGGAGGACGGAGGAGCTGCCGTCATTTCTACTCAAGTGACCTCATTTTCCTGAGAGTGCCCCCCCCTGGGCTGACGTCAGAGCCTGCAGCCTCCCTCAGAAGGGAGCCCAGGGCCCAGGGAGAGCTGGCTCAGGCAGGGAGGGCTCGGTCCTCTGACATGGGGTGCGGCGAGGGAGGCGAGGGTGCATATCCAAAGCGTCATTTCATGTCCTGTCTGCGGAATCTGCTCAGGATAGCGCGAGTCTTCTGCGGAGAGATGGAGGGTGGGTGTCTAGGAGGGCGTCCGCATCCGCTGAGGTGGCCCCGGACTATGCGGCCACCCACAGGGAGTGGGGGGAGGGACGGCCGGAGCTGCCAGTGGAGAGGGGGCGCAGGAAAGGGCCATCCTGGGAGTGTGGGCACAGGGGAAACTGGGGCCAGGAGGGGTGTCAGGGGGCTTATCCAGCTGAGCTGCCCAGGAAGTGACCCTTGAGTGGACTCTGGGGGCTCATGCTCTTGGGCCCTTTGCCGCAGATCTCCTGGTTTCTTCTCTGGGCTGCAGCCCTGTGCTCCCGACGCATCCCCGTAATGGCTAGTGATGGCTTGTCTGCGGACCCAGTCTCAGGAGAGGAGGCCGCCTGCTGGCCTCCCCTGCTGGGGCACACGTGTCATCTGAAGAGGAGTCGCAGAGCAGGAAGGACCCCGACTCCTAGCTCGAGGCCCAGCTGCCGCACCCTGGCTTCTCATGCCCGCTGGCCCTGGCGCGGTGGCACTCTCTTGTTCTTTCCTCTGCTCAGCTGGGGGGGGTGTGGAAGGCTGGCCCTGGGCAACGCAGTGGGGACCACCACGCGGGAGGTTCAGAGCACACGTGGGCACGTTTCTGCTCTGTCCGCCTGCCCCGCTGCGCTCCCAGAGCCCAACCCACGGGGACATGCAGGAACTGGGCTCCAGTCATCGGAACCAGGCTTTGGTTTGACAAGGGGGGACTCAACCCTGGGAACAGCCATCCCCCGAAGGACCCCCCCCCCCGTCAGAATCTCCCACTCTCCTGGGGAAGGGATGGGGGTGGTAGGGTGGATCCTGGGTGTGCCAGGCAGTGAGACGGAAGGGGAGGGCTGAGACGGAACCAGGAGCTGAGGGCGAGACTTCAGATGACACGCGTGCCCCAGAGGCAGCCCACATGGCCTGTGGGGTCACTCACAGGGTCACTGCAGTGAGAGCGCTGACGGCAGGCCAGTTCCCCAGGACACCCTGCCCGAGCTCTTCTCCACTGCCAGCCCGGAGGAGGGCACAAGCCCCTCCACCCCTTTGAAGGATGGTAGCGACCTCCAAGGAAGGGCACTTCCCTGGGAAGGTGGCACAGCCTGGGATTGTGCTTTCAGGAGCCCTGGCACACTGCCGGGGACCTCCAGGCCCTGCTGCCCCTGATGTGCTGAGACCCCTCCCCTCCCACGGGGGCTCCCCGTCTCCTAATCCCTACATGGCCCCATCTTCTTTGGCCCCCAATGAAGCAGGACTCTGGGAAGGGCAGCCCGTTGGTTTCTCTGATCCCGTCCTGGCGAGACATCACTGCCTAGCTCAGCCGCCGGACCAGTTGTCCCCCACTCGGAGGACAGCGATGGCACCTCCTTCGGAAGCAGGAGCTGGTCCCGCTGCCAGCAGGGAGCGGAAGGGGCTACAACCCCGCTCCCAGATCCCCACATGTATAGAGGTTCTGTGAGATGCTACTTCCCGTGCTGGATTATCTTTCACCGCATGATGGGGGAGGAGGGGGCCAGGGGGATGCCTCCCTGTCTTCTCTCAGAAGAGATTGGGACAAAACCAAATCACCATGACTGAAGGGCTGGGGACACCCCCCTCCCCCCCAAACTCAAGTGAGACCGGAAGGGCCTGGCCTGGTCTTGCTTTGAAAGGGTTCTTTTGAACGTGTGCCTGAGCATCTCAGAGCAATGTCAGTGATGCCAAAGAGAGCGACTCGGCCTCCTCAGGCACCAGCTTGACCCACGGGCCGAATCTTGGTGTCTGATGGTGCGACCTTGTTCTCTGACAAAGGGCTTAATCTTTCCATGTAGCAAAGCAACTCTCCCCCCTCCCCCCCAACCCCCAAGCTTGGGGCGTGTGTGCCTGTGAGGAACAGAGTGAGAAGGAGTTCCCTCGGGGCCCACCCCTGCCGGTTGGGGTAGGCACCCCCTGGAAGGCACCAGCACTGCCGCTTGGGGGACCCCTCCCAGTGCTCTGACTGGACAGTGGACAGTAAGAACAGGGGCCCGGGGCCTCCCAAGGCGTCCACACTGCCCCAGGGAAGTGTCCCTGGGACCGAATGACAGAAATAGGCTGTGGGGATTCCAGGGGCCGCTGAGTGCCCGCCCCCATGGCCGAGGGCTGGGCCAGCCGCACATGGAGAATCACAGTCAGAGCATTTGCTGGTTGTTCTTTCGTTCCCTCCGGGTGTGAAAGGGCTGAGCCGGAGCCCAGGAGGGTGGTGAGGCTGGGCCAGACCTGGCTGCGGGTTGGTCTCCTCCAGCCCCGGCTGCTTGCGGCTCCTCATCCCGTCCCCACCCTGACGCTGCTTCTGACGAGAACTGGGAACGCAAACAGACTCTGTCTCACCTCCTCGAGGTCTGTCCTCCCTCTTTGACGCTGTGTAGCGATGCGAAGCGACCAAGGATCGTCTGCAGCGGGCGATTTTCAAGGTGCTGCTGAGATCGTCCCCTGAGCTGCTGCCTGCGCGAGCCTGTGGCCCCCACCAGCAGAGGAGGTGGCCATCCTGCCTGTCTGCTTCCAGAAAGACACCAGTGGGAGAGTGGAAGCTCTGAGAAGTCTCCAGAAAATGTGCTCTGCTGGGAGGAGGGGGAAGGGAGGGAACTTAATTCCCTTCAACGTATTTTGCTTTAAAAAAAAAAAAAACCAAACCCGCTCCTCTCTCCAGATTGCCTTTTACCAGACGCCGTCTCAGAAGGCAGAGTTGGCTGTTGTTTAGGAAAAGTTGGCCCGATTGTTCTATCAACTCCATTAGAATGTAAACTCACAGGAGGCAGGAACCCCTTTTTTAGACTTTCCAAATGCATCCTGCAAAGAAAGGGATAGCTGACAGGGACTGACAAGCACACTGTTTAGATAAGAAGCGATTAGCCTTTTATATCTGTGCTCTAGACATTTTCTATGTGCGGCCTCTTTCCAAACTCACGGCTCCTGGGTGGCAGGTGGACAGCTGGGAAGGACCACCAGCCGTTCGTTACCGCGTTCTTGCCAATCCCCTTGAGGAGGAAATTCTTCACGTGGCTTCTGCATGTACAGTATTTGGGCAGCAAAAAAATGATTAAAGTCACTTTGAAAAACGATTTCTCGTGTGGCTCTCTGAAGACGATTCTTAACTCCAGAAGGAAGATCACAGGGCTCCAGGCGCCTGACCAGGAGCATGAGAGGCTGGCGAGAGCTCTCCGCCTCAGAAGCGCTGAACTGCTCCGAGAAAGGCCTGAGAGGGCGCAGAACCAGCAGTAAGTCCTGAGCGTCACTAGGTGTGCACCCCTCCAAAAACAACAACAACAAGACCCCATTATTAGAACTGGACGAGGTTATTCAGTAAGATCATCATACAAAAATCAATTGAATTTGTGGGGTTACAAAAGAATAAACACGTAGTTAACAGCAATAAATATAGTTCAAATTAGCTAGGAATTTGGGATCAGAGCGATAGTATAGTAGGTATGATCCTGGCAGCTCTGCTCTGTGAGCCCCCAGCCCCATAAACGACTTCTGGCTGCACCACAAAAGGGGATATGAACTCCCCACCCCCCGCCAGGACTACAGTTTAAAAAGATGTGAGAGTGCCCGGTCTTTGGTGAGCACATGTGTGAGCGCCACAACCGTAACCTGTGTGCCTCCCCTCAGAGTGCGACCTCTACCAAGCATGTGTGCTAACACCCCCAAGTAAAGGAGCACAAACCTCTGAGCATGTAGCCCAAAGTGCAAGAACCACAGCCCGGCCAACGCCACAGCTAAAATATGTGGAAGGACCATGGTCAGTCATGTGTG